TTCCTTAGAGTATGCTCGCAGTTGTGAAGCTTGGGAATGTTGACCAAACATCGTTCTTCATCACCAGAAAATTCAAACAACTAAGATCTTCAAATGCAGAGAATTTGAATACTAATCACAGGTGACGTCATCAAAACCATCAAACGAGGAGACAAACTTGGCCCTCCCTGGCTTCATATATCGACTTTTTGGGTCTAGTTTTTGTGATTCCCCATTCCTTGGGGGCCATATAAGACCCCCATGAAGAGAACACACCACCGAAAAAATTCCCGGAGTGCCCCTTTAAGATCTGTTCGATGGTCTTCTGGAAAATAGACGGAGCAGAACTGACACCGAAAGGCAATCGAGTAAACGCAAACAATCCCTTGTGCGTGGAGATAACACAATACGACTGGCTTTGTTCATCCAAAGGTAACTGAGCATAAGCCTGACTAAGATCTAGCTTTGAGAAGACCGATCCCCCAGAAAATTCAGACAATAGGTCGGTAGGATTCGGAATCGGGTGCTGGTTAGGTTCTATGTGCTTGTTTATCGTAACCTTGAAATCAGCACATACTAGTAGACGGATAGAGTTGTTCTTCTTACGCACCGTGACAATGATACGATCTTTGAACGAATGAGACTCATGACAGACAGAAACGGTATACTCTCCCTTAACGACTAGGGGATGTCCACCATGAGCATGCCAAGAAGCAGAGCTCTGTTCTAAAGAGATATGGGAAAACCTCTCTTTCCAAACAGATTCAGAGAGAATAGAGATCCAGCACCAGCATCCACCTCCATCGTGCACGGAATATCGTTAATGGTGACATCAATGGTAATCTGTGGGTCTTTCTGTACTTGCTCACCAACAGCACCAATCGCAAAAGACTCTCTTGTATCCTCAGGTTCGACATCGATGTCGATGTTGTTAGTTGCTCGGGACGTACAGCATGACGCGAGGTGACCAACTTTCTTGCATTTGGTACATCTCTTGCCACGAGCAGGACATTGAGGGTGGTTTCCGAGATGATCGGGTCGGTTACACCTATAACACAAGTGCTCAGACGGCGCTCGATCATCAGAAACAGAAGAACGATTCATAGGGTTAGAACGATTCACAAAATGAGGAGAACTCCCAGGACGAGATCCAGACGCAGACGAGGCCTTACTTGCGATGGCGTTCACCGGCGGCAATGTTTGTTCAGAACCCATAGCTGATGCTTGACGTTGGGTTGACTCGAAAATTGCACAAATCTCTAAGCAAGTGGCCCATGTCAATTTCGATTCTTGAAGCAATTTCTTTTTTAGTTCCACATTTCGCATAGTTGCCACCACATGGTCCCGGATCATATCATTGGTGACATCACCAAAATCACAAAATCTAGCTTGTTGCTGTAAACGTACAACAAACTGACTGATACTCTCACCGGCTTTGGGGGCGAGCTGTCGAAACAAGTGTCGCTCGTAGATAGGGTTTGGCTCGGCCTTGAAGTGGTGACTCAGCATGCGTGACGCTTTCCTGAACTCGTCATCCGCCGGAGGATTTGCTGCAGGATCGGTGAGATCGTCAAATAAATCTTGAATTGTTGGGGCTGCGGAATGTAGTAAAAGAGATCTCAAACGCTTAGTGTCAGAAATACCCTTTCCTTCCGCCATGTATTCAAAGCTGCGGAACCATTTCTTCCAGCGTTGGCCAACCTCCGCAGGAGTACCTGACGAGTCGAACGTAGGTAGACGATTGGACTGACCCTCGTGGAGATTGAAACTACTAGCCATCTTCGTCGCCAATTGTTGTAACTTACACTTAGTTACTGCATGCTTGTGGCACACGACAGTCACAAGCAACACGAGGAGTAATTATTGTTGGTACTTCGAAGTAGTTATCATTATGAAGGTAAGCAAGAGAATGGCCCGAGCATGCCCAGAGCAACCAGGTAAGGGCCAGCAGCCATGATGAGAGAATGCTGTACACATGCGCGAATGGAGAAGATTGTACGAAGTGAAAGGAGATAAGATCGTACAAAGAGGCAGCGAGAGAGCAGCATGCAGCGACGGCAATACGAAGTGAATGCAGTCTATAACAGATCTCATCTTTGCAGCGCAGTTTGAATTGTGAAAACCCGGTTTAAGTTGAGTAAGGTGACGAACAAGAAGGTGAGGTCGAGTTGTTGTGCCATTCCGAGGCGTGTGAAGTAGTTCAGAGAGGACGTGGAAGTGACACTGATATATGCCTATGGAGCTGAGAGCTACCAGTATGGATTCTCTTACTTCAGTGGTCCGGATCTTTCCAACAAGCCCAGTATGATGAAAATCCATCAAGGTAACCAGAAATGCTGTGCGCACAAACTCCACCAGCTGGTTCAATGCACTTGAATGCCAGTGGACAGGTGAAAAGTGCCCAGCATGCAAAGAGTTATAAAATCAACCTACACTCACTGTTACACTGTTAAACTCACTAATCCTTATGCACAGATATACAGCATTCCCTCACTAGTGGGACCATTGTTATTAGGCTAGGGCCTGTTTTGGACTTCCCACTCTAAATAAAGAATACAAACAAACAAACAAAACTCTACTGTATATGTACCACCAAGAGTACATAAATCAGAGTGTGCAACTGTACATATCAGATCTGTAACAGCCCAGTTCGTGCACTACGTCACCCTGATGAGGTCAGCCAAGCCGCGATTTGCGTACAGCTCAAATTTTCGTGTTCCACAGCTCGGAAATCAACCAAGATTTTAGAGGTCCTGTTTTAGGATTTCGGTGCTTTTGTGTGACTGCGTGCGTTGCGTACATCCGCTGGCAAGTAAATTCACCAGGCTATCCGTATCAAAAAAACCGAAATTAGGACAAACTCAGTGACTTGCACCACCGTGACTGGTTACGCAACTTTTCACCGTACCTGTGGCTTACTAAGTTACCATGCCGTCAGAAATGACGTACTGCACGAATTTACGCTCCCACAGGAACCATCCCGAGTTGCACACTCTGGTTTTATGTACTCTTGGGGTGCGTTTGGTTGGTACGATCTAGAACAGGATCGAACAGCTGGTGCACATGGAGCAGCCTCATGTCAACCAAACGCTACTCCAGAAACAGAGCACATTTTTGTGGAAAAATGTGCCAAACTTGGTGCATTCTTCAAAATGTGTATGGGTCACCATGGTCACTTTGTACGGTACGACGAGTCCAACCCAAAAGCGTATGCACGTGATCATTTGGGACCAAAATCGATGTTCCCGCCAGGTTTCACTGTGAAAAAGTGAAACTGCTCGGTCTGCTCCGGCCTCGAGGCCGGAGCAAGCAGAACATGTTCTGGCCGACCCAGAACAGATGCAGTCCCAACCAAACGCGCTGTTCTGGTGAATCCTGTTCTAGTTCGTACCAACCAAACGCGCCCTTGGTGTGACCAAATCTGCTCAGGATTTCAGCAAGGTACTGACTGAGCGATGAACAGAGCAAGGCAGTCTGATTGACTCTACCCCAGTTTTGATTTGAACTTGTATTAGGATTTATTTTGCACAACTCATCTACTGTACACCGTGACCGCGGGGATAGGCATGTCGGCCTATCAGCGTAAAACTGGGCATAGACGACATACTATTATGTATGCACATTGGCGTGATAATTGACAGCTTGCCCTTGTACACAGGCATGGAATTACATGCTAATTGCGTGATTACTTGACCAGGGATCAGGTTCCTCAACACGCAACATTGGCTAGCTCAGTCGGTAGAGCAGGAGACTCTTAAACTCAGGGTAATGGGTTCGAGCCCCACGTTGGGCGCCAAATGTCGTCAATGATTGGGACGAACTGTTCTCCTCTAGCGCAACCGCGTCACGCCACACAGCCAAAGACCAAGTTATTCTCGGTTACAGAGAGAGAATTATCTCTTTTTACTTTCATGAGACGACGAGACAAGACAAGGGAATATATTATGGGCGCCGAATGTCGTCTTAGACTGCCGACGAACTTTTCCTTAAGCGTGATCGCACCACGCCACACAGCCAAAGACCAAGTTATTCTCCGTACACAGAGAGAGTTTTCTGTTCTTATTCTCATGAGATGACAAGGCAAGGGAATATATTATAAAGACATGGGAAAAACGTGGGGCGGTGGAGGCGAAATTGGCGCTCGTGTGTGATACAACTAGTCCCGAACGGGAAGGGAGACAGACGGCAAACGATCAAATACGACGGAGACAAGACGGCAACCGGACGAATACAAAGGAGACAAGATGAGAAAATGCATATACAACGGGGACAACACAAGAACGAGTGCGTACGGTGGGGACCGAAGACGGTGCAGCCGCATGTACCAAGCATTCAAAGACAGCGCAGCAGGGTGTACCACGGGTCAGCAGCATGTACGACCCAGAGACACAAACACATCGGCAGGTACGACAAAGAGACACAAATGCAGCAGCATATACGATAAAGAGCTACACGCGCAGCCACATGTACAATGATGAGCTACACGCACAGCCGCATGTACAATGATGAGCTACAAGCGTAGCCGCATGTACAATGATGAGCTACAAGTACAGCCACATGTACAATGATGAGCTACAAGCGCAGCCACATGTACAATGATGAGCTACAAGCACAGCCACATGTACAATGATGAGCTACAAGCGCAGCCACATGCACAGCACCTGTGTTAAGAGCAGCCAAACCACCCAGGGGCACCCTAATGACTGTATGGCTTTTTGCTGTTCTGTTCGAAAGATCTGCACTTCGTACGGAGTAGGCTAAAGGCAACATTTTTGCCTTGGCATGGCTCCTCTTAGTCGTCAAAACACATGTACATATTCAATCCAAGCACTACTCAATTGGAGTTATCACTGTGCCAGCCATTAGAGTGGAAAGACAGTGCATTGTGTTCATTGTTACAATGTAATGTATTTCTGTGTTCATTGTTACAATGTAATGTATTTCTGTGTTCATTGTTACAATGTGATGTATTTCTGTGTTCATTGTTACAATGTAATGTATTTCTGTGTTCATTGCTACAGGGTACTGCAATAGCAGTGACAACTTGGTGGCAGTGCCTAACGAAGACCGGTGTGTGTGCAAGCGTGGGTATATCAGCAACCGCACAACCGCACACAAATGTAAGTTATAATGTTCCCCACTGACATCCCTGCTAGCTGAACGGTGAGGAGATTTTCATGGGACTTAATGAAGGCCTGGACATGAGCTTTGGAGATCACACAACACAGAATGCAATGTTTGTTTCTGTACGATTTCCTATTTTCGGTGCATGGGCATGTTGTTTGGGTGTTGATCTGCCGCCTTTGCTACAGTTAGTACTGTTCCTTGTACAGTTCTTGATTGTTGCTGGTTTAGCACATCCGTAGATGTATGTAATGTGATGGCAGTACTTGCACATTCGTAGATGTATGTAAAGTGATGGCAGCACTTGCACATTCGTAGATGTATGTAAAGTGATGGCAGTACTTGCACATTCGTAGATGTATGTGAAGTGATGGCAGTACTTGCACATCCGTAGATGTATGTGAAGTGATGGCAGTACTTGCACATCCGTAGATGTATGTGAAGTGATGGCAGTACTTGCACATTCGTAGATGTATGTAAAGTGATGGCAGTACTTGCACATCCGTAGATGTATGTAAAGTGATGGCAGTACTTGCACATTCGTAGATGTATGTAAAGTGATGGCAGTACTTGCACATCCGTAGATGTATGTAAAGTGATGGCAGTACTTGACCATACTGGCATGCTCTATGTGATAGTGTTGGTCTGCATGTACCCGTAGTCAGGAATGACCAGAAGCAAACGGGCAAGATGTATACCCTTTGTCTTCAGCCGTAGATAGTGGTGCGGGCAGGGATGGTCCTGCATATTGATAGTGGTGCGGGCAGGGACGGTCCTGCATGTAGATATTGGTACCGGCAAGGACGGTCCTGCATGTAGATCTCCAGTGTCATAGACATAAATACGTCAATTGGGATGTTGGAGCTTTGTGTCTGCTTGATGACGGTGCTGACGTACAACTATGTATAGGTATTATTCACCATGTCATGTGACCGAGTGGAATGTGCTGCACTGCCCTGTGTACAGGTGAATCAATTGTCGAGCTATTTCGTTCTACTGGACAAGCAGGGCAGAGTTCAAACATCACAGTGTTCATCTGGTTAAAATCAGAGTGGAGGGTGCACAGTGTCTACACACAGAATACACTACACCAGCTGGCTAATTTCTCCTTACCAGAAGGGAGACTTGCCATCAGATCTGCTGAACGGATCATCTACACTTCTCCACGGCAAGGTAGGATATTGTATGCTTCTATAGTCCCGTGTGTTGTGTAACGTACACACAACAATTACACAAAAATACACACAAGCTGTGCAACTGAAAGGCGCGCACAAGCTGTGCAACTGATAGGCGCGCACAAGCTGTGCAACTGATAGGCGCGCACAAGCTGTGCAACTGATAGGCGTGTACAAGGTGTGCAGTGATAGGCGTGTACAAGGTGTGAAGTGATAGGCGCGTACAAGGTGTGAAGTGATAGGCGTGTACAAGGTGTGAAGTGATAGGCGTGTACAAGGTGTGAAGTGATAGGCGTGTACAAGGTGTGAAGTGATAGGCGTGTACAAGGTGTGCAGTGATAGGCGTGTACAAGGTGTGAAGTGATAGGCGTGTACAAGGTGTGAAGTGATAGGCGTGTACAAGGTGTGAAGTGATAGGCGCGTACAAGGTGTGAAGTGATAGGCGCGTACAAGGTGTGAAGTGATAGGCGGGTACAAGGTGTGAAGTGATAGGCGTGTACAAGGTGTGCAGTGATAGGCGTGTACAAGGTGTGAAGTGATAGGCGCGTACAAGGTGTGCAGTGATAGGCGTGTACAAGCTGTGCAGTGATAGGCGTGTACAAGGTGTGCAGTGATAGGCGTGTACAAGGTGTGAAGTGATAGGAAGGCAGAAGAAGGTATAACGGTTACATGCACTCCACACACAACACTCACAACGACGGACTCTGACAGTAATGTAAATAAAAGGACTGGTACTTGCAAATGAATTGGGCAGGTAAGGATATAGAGAAATCAACAATCGAACTCAATCTTGGGAGAGCTAATTAACACCAGAAGAAAAACCGGAACTCACAACAGAACCGGCGGGGACGAGGAAGGGAGACGTGGAGAAGCCCGGCTGACGTCACGTGTGTGTGTGTGTGTGTGTGTGTGTGTGTGTGTGTGTGTGTGTGTGTGTGTGTGTGTGTGTGTGTGTGTGTGTGTGTGTGTGTGTGTGTGTGTGTGTGTGTGTGTGTGTGTGTGTGTGTGTGTGTGTGTGTGTGTGTGTGAGTGTGTGTGTGTGTGTGTGTGTGTGTGTGTGTGTGTGTGTGTGTGTGAGTACACACGCGGCGCGGTCAATGTGGCTTCGGCCAGGAAGCGTGGGGATGCTAACCTGTGCAGCAAGAGCTCTATTCAGTATTATCTCTGTTGTAAATTTGCCAATAGAAATAGTTTCACACATATTTTACGATCACAACAATTATTGCTTGCCTTCTAGTTCCAGTAAGTCTTGTAGTATTCAACAAATGGAAAATGCTTTCAGTCTAGCAGTGCTCTGAATGCCTTGTCCATCTGCAGCTGCTTACATATTCCTCCGTAATGCTCTAATCTAGAAAACTTCTTCGTTCACATGAAATGCTTTTCGTACATAACTTATTTCGAAGTTACTGCATGCTACATTGCATGCTACATTGTATGCTACATTGTATGCTACATTGCATGCTACATTCTGACATGCTACATTCTGACATGCTACATTCTGACATGCTACATTCTGACATGCTACATTCTGACATGCTACATTCTGACATGCTACATTCTGACATGCTACATTCTGACATGCTACATTCTGACATGCTACATTCTGATTCTGACGACGAACTGAATTCTGAGCAGGCGTACTTGAGATTCTGACACATCATTTTACCAACAGAGCTTCTGGATCACTAAGCTTCTCTTACCATACTGTGTAAAATAATGATGTTCGCATGCGCGGTACAATACTATTGTCCCGCTACTATTGTCCCGCTATTACAGCTCATGCTTTTCTTGGTTGCGCTCACTTTCCCCTCCTTATGTTATTTCTATAACTTAGAACCTTCCAAGTTGGAAGGCTGTTGGAGTGCGCATCCAAGATGTGCTAGAGCTGTTAGCCAGTTAGTTGTAGAACGTCAGTACCGTCGGTCAGTGTCGTGCAATGTTATTGCATGAGCTGATTGTTTAGTAACTGGTGGTGTTAGTGGATATTATAGTGTAACTTGTAGTTCCTTGGTCCTTTTTACTTTTATTATTATTGCACTTCTATTGTGGTGCTTCTATTGTCCCTCTTCTATTGTCCCGCTTCTAGAAGTCATTCTAAGCGCTTGATTCTCTTCATTCTAATCATCCTTCAACCACTCTAGCTAAGCCTTTAAGGCTCATGGTAATAAGCTTGGATCCATTGCAACTATGTGTTCTCTGTTTGAATTTGTCTATCTCTGACCGGAGTAAAGTCAGGATTACAACAATCACCTTCACTGGCCTTTATATTTTATTCTTCTTTTTAGTCGATATCATGTAATTAGGCAAATTTGCCTGTTTGTTCTTCGACTCTAAATAAACAAACAACAACAACAAGCGCAGCATGCAAATACGGCAAATAAGGCAGAAGCAGTGCGCATACACACAATGATGGTGTATACCTAATAGGGTATGAAGTCAACATACATGTAACTCGTGAAAATGCCTATGCAAAAATGTGTTCGAAAAGTAACAGTTAGCTATGATGCAGGAAACTATCTCTGCGATCTGGCAGACGATGAAACAATTTGAAACTAGACAAATTGACAATCAGCGAGTCAGAGAAAAGGAAAAATGGTACTAGCAAGAGAAAAAAGGAACAGAGCAGGCGCGGAGAATGCAGAGTATAGATAGAAGAACAGAACGGTAAGCAAAGTGTCAAACGAAGAACCCGACGTACAGATTCAAATCTATAATTCAAAGCAATGAATAGTTGTGCATTATGGTATCATTATACTTGTGGTGAAAGAGGAGAACTATTCTACTTCACCCATTGACGCAATTGTGTGATTCCCAAGGACTCTCGATGCAAGCAACAAATAGTGCAGAGAGTTAACAAATCTTCTGTCCAACCATGTTGAATAACTAACCCCCTCACAGCCAACCTCTCTCTCTCTCTCTCTCTCTCTCTCTCTCTCTCTCTCTCTCTCTCTCTCTCTCTCTATCACTGTCTCTCTTTCTCTCGCACTACAGCTGACACTGTTGCTGCAGAGCTTGCCAAGAATCACTCCCAATTCTTCATCGTGAATGCCAGTACAAGTAATATACTTCTGCCCTCAGCCCATCTTCGTAACTACCTGGTCAACCTAAGTGTCTGGTTTCGGCCATACAAAGTCGAGTGCGTTAACATTCCTAGTACAAACCAGTCAGACACCTGTAGTTACAGTGTGTTCAATGAGTCAGTCCCGTTCAAGGATGGCCTGTACGAGTTTGCCCTGTCTCCACACAACTCCACACTACTTAGTATACCTGTTCTATACACAGTTTACCCAAGACCAACTACCACTGTACCTCGGATGACCAGCATGCCAGGTAACAATGGTAAGTATTCAGTGTGTTTATGTTTAGCTAATATGCCTTTCTGTCTACCGTACTTCTCCACATATCCCAGTACCAATGAATGTGAGACAGGTGCATATCACACATGTGATGTAATAACAGAGAGGATGCGATATATTTACAACAGACATGGTGTATTTACGGAGGGCACAATGTGTATACAAGAGATATGGCTCTCTGGGATACATATACAGCACTCGCAGTACATACCGTATTTCCTCGTATACAACGCCTTCCTCGAATACAAGGCCGGGGCAGGGGGCGATTGAAAAAATACAAGACCGTCTCCGATTAGAAGACCGGGCCTACTAAATGAGTATGAGAAAAATAGAAGACTGTGCTCAAACTGTGTAGAAGAAAATGGAAGAACGGGGGTAAAACTGTGTGGCGAAAAATAGAAGACCGGAGGGTCAAACTGGGTTGAAAGAATAAAAGACCGTCCTCGAATACAAGACCGTTCTCAATTATAAGGCCGGGTTAGGACGAGTTTGAAAAAATAGTAGACCGGCCTACTATTTGCGGAAATACGGTATACAACACTTGGAGTAGATTTATTGCTGTCAGAACGCCTCTGCAGAAGTAGCAGTGTAGTCCGAGAGTGCATGTACAGTATAATAGACACTGCAGTCAGAATGTATGTACAGTACAATAGACACTGTAGTCAGAATGTATGTACAGTACAATAGACACTGCAGTCAGAATGTATGTACAGTACAATAGACACTGCAGTCAGAATGTATGTACAGTACAATAGACACTGCAGTCAGAATGTATGTACAGTACAATAGACACTGCAGTCAGAATGTATGTACAGTACAATAGACACTGTAGTCAGAATGTATGTACAGTACAATAGACACTGCAGTCAGAATGTATGTACAGTACAATAGACACTGCAGTCAGAATGTATGTACAGTATAATAGACACTGCAGTCAGAATGTATGTACAGTATAATAGACACTGTAGTCAGAATGTATGTACAGTACAATAGACACTGCAGTCAGAATGTATGTACAGTACAATAGACACTGCAGTCAGAATGTATGTACAGTACAATAGACACTGCAGTCAGAATGTATGTACAGTACAATAGACACTGCAGTCAGAATGTATGTACAGTACAATAGACACTGCAGTCAGAATGTATGTACAGTACAATAGACACTGCAGTCAGAATGCATGTACAGTACAATAGACACTGCAGTCAGAATGTATGTACAGTACAATAGACACTGCAGTCAGAATGTATGTACAGTACAATAGACACTGCAGTCAGAATGTATGTACAGTACAATAGACACTGCAGTCAGAATGTATGTACAGTACAATAGACACTGCAGTCAGAATGTATGTACAGTACAATAGACACTGCAGTCAGAATGTGTGTACAGTACAATAGACACTGTAGTCAGAATGTATGTACAGTACAATAGACACTGTAGTCAGAATGTATGTACAGTACAATAGACACTGTAGTCAGAATGTATGTACAGTACAATAGACACTGCAGTCAGAATGTATGTACAGTACAATAGACACTGCAGTCAGAATGTATGTACAGTACAATAGACACTGTAGTCAGAATGTATGTACAGTACAATAGACACTGTAGTCAGAATGTATGTACAGTACAATAGACACTGTAGTCAGAATGTATGTACAGTACAATAGACACTGTAGTCAGAATGTATGTACAGTACAATAGACACTGCAGTCAGAATGTATGTACAGTACAATAGACACTGCAGTCAGAATGTATGTACAGTACAATAGACACTGCAGTCAGAATGTATGTACAGTACAATAGACACTGCAGTCAGAATGTATGTACAGTACAATAGACACTGTAGTCAGAATGTATGTACAGTACAATAGACACTGCAGTCAGAATGTATGTACAGTATAATAGACACTGCAGTCAGAATGTATGTACAGTACAATAGACACTGCAGTCAGAATGTATGTACAGTACAATAGACACTGCAGTCAGAATGTATGTACAGTACAATAGACACTGCAGTCAGAATGCATGTACAGTACAATAGACACTGTAGTCAGAATGTATGTACAGTACAATAGACACTGCAGTCAGAATGCATGTACAGTACAATAGACACTGTAGTCAGAATGTATGTACAGTACAATAGACACTGCAGTCAGAATGTATGTACAGTACAATAGACACTGCAGTCAGAATGGATGTACAGTACAATAGACACTGCAGTCAGAATGTATGTACAGTATAATAGACACTGCAGTCAGAATGTATGTACAGTACAATAGACACTGTAGTCAGAATGTATGTACAGTATAATAGACACTGCAGTCAGAATGTATGTACAGTACAATAGACACTGCAGTCAGAATGTATGTACAGTACAATAGACACTGTAGTCAGAATGTATGTACAGTACAATAGACACTGTAGTCAGAATGTATGTACAGTATAATAGACACTGTAGTCAGAATGTATGTACAGTATAATAGACACTGCAGTCAGAATGTGTGTACAGTACAATAGACACTGCAGTCAGAATGTATGTACAGTACAATAGACACTGCAGTCAGAATGTATGTACAGTACAATAGACACTGTAGTCAGAATGTATGTACAGTACAATAGACACTGCAGTCAGAATGTATGTACAGTACAATAGACACTGCAGTCAGAATGTATGTACAGTACAATAGACACTGTAGTCAGAATGTATGTACAGTATAATAGACACTGCAGTCAGAATGTATGTACAGTACAATAGACACTGTAGTCAGAATGTATGTACAGTATAATAGACACGGCAGTCAGAATGTATGTACAGTACAATAGACACTGCAGTCAGAATGTATGTACAGTACAATAGACACTGCAGTCAGAATGTATGTACAGTACAATAGACACTGCAGTCAGAATGTATGTACAGTACAATAGACACTGCAGTCAGAATGTATGTACAGTACAATAGACACTGTAGTCAGAATGTATGTACAGTATATTAGACACTGTAGTCAGAATGTATGTACAGTACAATAGACACTGTAGTCAGAATGTATGTACAGTACAATAGACACTGTAGTCAGAATGTATGTACAGTACAATAGACACTGTAGTCAGAATGTATGTACAGTACAATAGACACTGTAGTCAGAATGTATGTACAGTACAATAGACCCTGCAGTCAGAATGTATGTACAGTACAATAGACACTGCAGTCAGAATGTATGTACAGTATAATAGACACTGCAGTCAGAATGTATGTACAGTACAATAGACACTGCAGTCAGAATGTATGTACAGTATAATAGACACTGTAGTCAGAATGTATGTACAGTACAATAGACACTGTAGTCAGAATGTATGTACAGTACAATAGACACTGTAGTCAGAATGTATGTACAGTACAATAGACACTGTAGTCAGAATGTATGTACAGTACAATAGACACTGCAGTCAGAATGTATGTACAGTATAATAGACACTGTAGTCAGAATGTATGTACAGTACAATAGACACTGCAGTCAGAATGTATGTACAGTACAATAGACACTGCAGTCAGAATGTATGTACAGTACAATAGACACTGCAGTCAGAATGGATGTACAGTACAATAGACACTGCAGTCAGAATGTATGTACAGTATAATAGACACTGCAGTCAGAATGTATGTACAGTACAATAGACACTGTAGTCAGAATGTATGTACAGTATAATAGACACTGCAGTCAGAATGTATGTACAGTACAATAGACACTGCAGTCAGAATGTATGTACAGTACAATAGACACTGTAGTCAGAATGTATGTACAGTACAATAGACACTGTAGTCAGAATGTATGTACAGTATAATAGACACTGTAGTCAGAATGTATGTACAGTATAATAGACACTGCAGTCAGAATGTGTGTACAGTACAATAGACACTGCAGTCAGAATGTATGTACAGTACAATAGACACTGCAGTCAGAATGTATGTACAGTACAATAGACACTGTAGTCAGAATGTATGTACAGTACAATAGACACTGCAGTCAGAATGTATGTACAGTACAATAGACACTGCAGTCAGAATGTATGTACAGTACAATAGACACTGTAGTCAGAATGTATGTACAGTATAATAGACACTGCAGTCAGAATGTATGTACAGTACAATAGACACTGTAGTCAGAATGTATGTACAGTATAATAGACACGGCAGTCAGAATGTATGTACAGTACAATAGACACTGCAGTCAGAATGTATGTACAGTACAATAGACACTGCAGTCAGAATGTATGTACAGTACAATAGACACTGCAGTCAGAATGTATGTACAGTACAATAGACACTGCAGTCAGAATGTATGTACAGTACAATAGACACTGTAGTCAGAATGTATGTACAGTACAATAGACACTGTAGTCAGAATGTATGTACAGTACAATAGACACTGTAGTCAGAATGTATGTACAGTACAATAGACCCTGCAGTCAGAATGTATGTACAGTACAATAGACACTGCAGTCAGAATGTATGTACAGTATAATAGACACTGCAGTCAGAATGTATGTACAGTACAATAGACACTGCAGTCAGAATGTATGTACAGTATAATAGACACTGTAGTCAGAATGTATGTACAGTACAATAGACACTGTAGTCAGAATGTATGTACAGTACAATAGACACTGCAGTCAGAATGTATGTACAGTATAATAGACACTGTAGTCAGAATGTATGTACAGTACAATAGACACTGCAGTCAGAATGTATGTACAGTACAATAGACACTGCAGTCAGAATGTATGTACAGTACAATAGACACTGCAGTCAGAATGTATGTACAGTACAATAGACACTGTAGTCAGAATGTATGTACAGTACAATAGACACTGTAGTCAGAATGTATGTACAGTACAATAGACCCTGCAGTCAGAATGTATGTACAGTACAATAGACACTGCAGTCAGAATGTATGTACAGTATAATAGACACTGCAGTCA